TCTCTCCCCCGAACCCCACCCGCACCCTCTCTCCCCCGAACCCCACCCACATCCTCTCTCCCCCAAACCCCATCCGCACCCTCTCCCAAACCCCCAAGTCCCACCAACCCAACGCTGGTATCATTAGGGTTATTAACAAAACACTTTGTAGCAGCATGCGCACCCCACTATGCTCTCATAAGGGGTTGATAGACGAACAAAAACATTTTGAAGCGATGGGCGTGCCCCGTCACTTCGCCATACCTGATTGTACAATCCAAAGCAGGAGGGTATTCTTAGTATGAACAAGATAATAAACGGATTGTCTACCTAGCGAAGGTGAGACGAGCAAAGAGTACTCTTTCCTACAGCGCATTCACACTAGGTAGCTGTAATATGGTCTCGAATTTTTTGCTGTACAGACTTCAAATGAGAGGACAGAGACCACAACGTAAAGAAACAGCTTTTTTCTGTATACACTGGCGATTTTTGCGATTTTGGAAACACGTATGGCTAAAACTTATAGCGACACAGACACCATAATGCATTACTTTATCTAGTACCGAGATTAAGTCCACTGCGACAATCATTATGGATGTCTCATTTTCGCTGCACCACCGGGATAGTTCCGTAGGCCAGACGTAATATGAAAGGCCCTTCGATTTTGGGTTGCATACCTCTAGTAATAGATGCTGCTAATCCGATGTATATACGCCATCTCTCTGAAAATTGCCGAGTCATTTGTTAAATACCAATAAACAGCTCCACACATCTTATTCTGATTAGGAAGTAGATAAGCGCTACAATTTCCACCCTGAGGCTGTGTACAGAATGGCTGCTAGCTTGCGCATGCTTTACAATACCGCCTTTCCTGAAACTGAAGGACTTCACCTACTTTTCGGATATTACTGTGTGGGAAACAGGTTCAACATTGCCCGCATCCACTGAATTTATACCGGTTCAACATTCCTCGCTCTTATTGAGTTTTAAACTGAACATTTGGATGAGTGAGTGAGTGCTCGTTTTTTTTTTTTGTAGGATCGGTTTTATCAGGTCGTTCGGTGACTCCATTGGACAGCGGTCTTTTTACACTTGTGGCAGCGAACGCTGTCGGTGCAGTAAATGCTTCAGTCCGTGTAACCGTTAAATGTAAGTTCATCGGCCTTTACATTTCTGCTTTACACTATAAGTGCTGTAGCGGGTTGGTCCTCTTTTAACGACGCGCTTCCATCATCCTCACAATCCTGCTGATCATCCAGAAATCACTCGCCCTTCAATTGTTTTTTATAAAATACAGCTTGGAAGCGAGTGTTTTCTGCGTGAGGAGAAGCGAAGCTTCGTGTGTGCCAGTTCTTTGGTGCCGCTTGATTTCTGGCTGTTCTTGCTTTTGACTTAGCAGCTGGGCCGAGCGAATACTCAGTGAATTGTAGGGCACTGATGATTACTGTTAGTGCTCAAGAGATAGAAGTATTGTATTAAGGGTGCCCCCGCCTTGAGAAGGTAGCTGGGATGAACTCACTTCTCCCGGAGAAAGCAATTTGACACATCAAGTGGCCGTGTGCTTCAGATGCTGCACATGTTACGCACATAACATCACCGGTGATAGCATCGGCAGGCGAAGAAGTTGTCATGGAATGTGAAGTGGACGGTGTGCCGCAACGTGATGGAATGGTCAAGTGGCTACGGGACGATCACGTGCTTGAAGACGTTTCGTTTATTGGACAGACAAGGGCTGTCATGAGACTAAATGCCTCGCTTGCAACAAGCGGTGCTTACACCTGTCTCGCTGACAACGGGATTGGGACGGTTAGTTTTCATGGGCTCGAATGGGCAAAATAAATTTTACCAGAAAGAAATTTACACTGTCGTGAAGGACCAGCGTGTGACAGCGCATTCTCCGTTGTATTTATCCGTCAGTCATCTGTTGTTACGTGACGCTCACCGTCGTTTTTCAGTAAATAAAAAATTGTCGCTTCTCATAGCCTCTCTTCCCAATTCAGGTTTAAGACGTATATGCATTAACGGACCGAAGCGTCTTATCTCGTTCTCACCTTCCTTAATCTACACTACTACTTTCTCCTAACTCCTTTACACTCTTCCATCTGGACTTCCAGGGTTAACCTGGAGGCTGCAATCTGCTTATCAACAGAAAGTGGTCTACACAAATCATCCCATTCAGTTTTGCAGCGTGTCATTGCATCTACGCGAGAAAGTAAAACCCGATAGGCAAGGCACATTACTTACCTTGCCGATAACTGGCGGGCGTCACGTATTAAGTAACCGCACTCGCGAAAAAAAAAACCAACCACTCGGACAGCCCCCGAAGGCGTGATCCACATGCTTCGAACTGGGCGAGTGCCAACTGTAAATATGCAGCCCAGGATCAAGGGCCTCGCACAGCTGCGTCAGGCATGTAAGAGCATCCTAGTAGCATCCCAGACATTGGTGGCTCACACTGGTAGCGCGATCGGTCTTTTATTCCAGGCACTAGACAGACAGATGGGGCGCTATCGCGCATTTTTCGAGAGCGCTTTGCCAGTTTGATGTTCAGTTGCATAGTTTAACAACCCGAAAAATTTGTGTAATGATTTAGGCGAATCACACCTTGGCTTATCTTTTGGTGAATCGTGCGCCCGCAATAAGCAGACAGCCTTCGATGCTTCGAGCAGCCGGGCCGTTGGGTGGTCAAGCGCATCTTCGTTGTCGTGCGCACGCTGTTCCTGATGCGCGTTTCCAGTGGATCATTCAAGGCCATTCCAGCCCTCTTCGCCATAACAATTCCAAATACGCTTTCACCACTTCTCAGCTCGATTACACCACATTTGAGGTACCGTTAAAAATCAAAGTTTCTTTTTTTTGGCAGTTTGCTGGTTCACAGTTCAACCCCTGCATCAATCGTAGATTTTTAGGGATCACTTTACATTTCCTCGTTGGATCGTTATGATTATCAGTATCCAGTGAAATGCAGAGCAGTCAATGTGTATGGAGATGATGCAGTTGAAATACGCGTCAGTCAGCCAACAGCACCCGACACGCCACTGGCTTTACGAGTCTCTAATATTACAAAAAACTCGCTCTCTTTCCACTGGATTCCTGGATTTGACGGTGGTTCTGAGCAAACCTTTGAAGTGCGCTATCAAACACCATCCGAAAGTGTTTATCATGTCATTAACTCGTCCTCACAGGTTTGTCAGTTATCCATTTTTTGCAGATTTCGGTATTTTGAAACCGAGCAGTCCCTCCTCCCGTCTCCGCTATCTTTTTCGTCAATTTTTTTTTTTTTTTTTTATTCGAAACTGTTGCTTATTTCTTTTAGAATGTGGAAATTCGAGGTCTACAGCCAGCGCAGTTGTACGAAGTTGCTATCCGGGCACTGAATAAACGTGGTCTGGCATCTGAATTTTCTCGCCCGCCGATCACAGTCTACACGAAAGATGAATACGGAATGGATGTTGTTAGCTCGGAAAAGGTTGATATTGTCTTTGTCTTAGCATTTTGTATCTGTGTACCTTCCAGCATATGTTCGTTCGTAAGGACAGCTACCTCTGGGACAGGTAACAGTACATCCATCAAAAGCAACCGTTCTGTTGCGAAGGGGCTGGGGAGTTCTTTTCCAGAGGTTCAACAGGAAGTAAGCCCGTAGAAGACGGATACAGTTCTAGTAAGCTGAAAATTTCTGTCAGCTGTACGCTGAAACGGATCGTACCACAATTAATTTCTCAGATTTTCAAATGTGTTTTCGTTTCTTAGCGAGGTGAATTTTATTTCAGAGGGATCCTTTTTCAACGCCAATAGTGTTGTTATTCGGTATGTGTTGCATTGCTTTACTGCTGGTAAACTGCATCCTGCTTTGTTACATGCATCAGCGAAAGAAAAGGAGGAAAAAGATGCAAGGTTCGTTCTTACTTATCTCATTGACACCCCCTTAAAACTGAAAATCCCTCAGCTTTTTTCATTTGAATCGATTTGGTATTTCGATAATTATTTTTGCAAGGTTTGCGTCTGAACCGCTTGTTAAAATGGATTATTTTTTTTAAGAAAAAACTGAAATGGTACGTAAATCCAGTGGCGGTGGTACGGATGTGCAGCCAGTGCAAATGTATGGCGCACTGACAAACGTCGAGAGTCCATGTCGACCAGGGTCTATGAACACAAACAGAAGTGAATTGGGCCGCGAACAAAATTCCGAGGATGATCAGAGCGTACGCACAATGATTGTACGTTTTCCACTTGTCTGCTTTTTAACTTTAATAGATTTTACCTGCCTAACTCCAAGAGTTAAATGGGTAAAATGCCCATTTCTACAGCTTAGAAGCTTAGAATTTATTAAATTCATAAATTCAATGACAGTTCCGGAAGATTTATGCAGAAATGAGGTAAAAATTTGAAAGAGGAGGGGGAACATGTTGTGTTTTAAAAGTACTTCGCGGCTAACGATTTGGCGGGAAGAGCTCTCAGTGGAGGTTAGCGGAAGGGGGAGAGGAGAAATAAGCTCTTCATTTATATCGGGTTTCGAGAGTATGGTGTCTTCTGTGACATTTCATCATAAAGCAATTCAAGTGCTTTACAAAACATCTAGGAGGGCCAAACAAGTGTTGAATTATGACGTGTTAGTGTCCTGCTGGAAAGCTTTTGTTGGCGCAGCTTGAATTGAGCGACCTCATTTAAAGTGGGGAGGAAGGGTGCTGTATAGCATTTTTCTTCTAAATTGGGGGCAGAGGACCGCTTTGGAGATTCTTTTCGTCGTAGGCGGCAACGACTACTCGTTGGAATTAGCGCGGAGAAAACAGACACTAGCCCTTTTGATTAAGGAGCGAGAACAAGCTTGCGAGGAATATCCAGATTGGCTGTACTTTTTTATTTGGGCGAGTTATCATTTCTCCGGTTTTTCATATTTGGAATACTATTCAATAAATTCCTTTGGTTTCGGCAAACATCGAATGTGAGCGCTTGTGAAGGTTTAAATTGCAGGAAGTTAGCCCAAATGGATGTGTACAACCAGCGGAGCCAGCTAATTATTATGAAAAGGATTGCATCATCGAGTACGATTTTGATCGTAAGTTGCTTGCTTCTTTATTTCCTCTCTAAATGTTACGATAGTCTGCAAATTTTCAAAAAAAAAAAAAACGTTTGTTTCAGCAAACTTGTACAGCGATGTAATCAAATCCAGTACATTACGAAGGGGTCTGCATAACTATGCAAATGTTCGGTATCCGGTAGGTTTTGGTTACAAGTTCAAGATTTATAGTCCGGAATTTATTGCTAAAATGCGGAAAAATAAATATTCGCAATAAACCAAGTTGAAATGTTATTGTCGTATAAACAAGAAAATCCCATGACAGGATGTTCCATGTCATAAAGTGTCGGACGGTGGTACGCTGATGAGTTGTCCAGATGGTGGAGGTGGTCCATTGTCGCGGGGTACGGATGTGAGTGCTATGGATTCTCCTCGTCGAATACATAAGCCGCGTATCATTGATGACAGATCTCCGACTAGTGTACATGCAAACAGTAATAATAACAATAACACAGTCGGCCCACAGATGCTGAGCACCTTTGTCCAGCAGGGTGCAGTCCATACGACTCCATTAAATTTTGCACATATTGACGGTGATCTCGTATAGTACTTACTACTCACTGCTATATTAAGTCACTGCTTGGGATGCTGACAACGACGGCTTCCAGCGAAGAGGGCAAAAACGCGCGATGGAAAAACCGTGCAAAGTAATAAATACCAGTTAACAAAGCTTACCCGAGACGCCACCTAATCTCTGCAGCTTACGTCGGACAGGCAGTGAGCCGTAGCAAAAGTACAGGGCGTCTGAATAGCCTCTCAATATTAATATTAGGTGGCGTCTCGGGTGAGCTTCGTTAACTGGTACTTATTACTTAGCACGGTTTTTCCGTCATGCGTTTTTGTTCTCTTCGCTAGAAGTCGTTGTTAACATTCAAAACTGCTGTATTAAGTGACGGGTATAAGACAGCTTTTTCGGAGTTCCAGCTCGCTCTTGGTGGGAAATATGATTTGACCAGTTTCACTAAGGAAGACACTCTAAAACCATCCTTGTCGAAACTCACCAGGGTGTGGTTTCTTTCATATTGAAATTGATTCGAAATTTGAATTATAAAACTTATACAGTTATTTATTTCGATGCTATACAGTCCTGTCACACGGGATTCCTTAGGGCGGGTTTCTACAACTTTCGTAAAATCTGTAGCAGATGGAGGTGTGTTTACTACTGGCCATATAAATGTGGACATAGTGACACAAATAGGAGGAATGAAAAACGCATTCAATTGTTAAGCATTTAAGCATTTTTCGTCATTTCTCCATGTATATTGCCTTTGTCAACTCGGTGCTAAACCAAGCGAATGCCTCATTGTACGTCTTCGGCGATTTTTCGCTACCCCATCTCATTTATGTTTCTCACAGATTGCCATCATTTTGTTAAATTGTTAGGCTTTCTCTATACGGTTTTGCACATTGAAATCGCATCATACTGAGATCACGTGTGTATCTATCCTTCCAGTCAGATAAATCATTTCATAAAAAACGTAAACCCGGGGGTCGAAATCCAAAAAAATTTTTTTTCAACTTTTGGAACTTTGGGTTTGAAATGAATTCGAGAACGGATAAAGATACGAGCTTGAATTTCCAATGATTAAGGCTTCTGCCTTCATCTGTTCTTGATTTTCGCAATGCTGGACGAGTGTCGGAAGCCAGCTCTCAAAACTCACTTTCTCCTGACATGCTAATCTTCAGTTCACATCCAGGGATTAATCATTACACTGAATTAGAGCGCACAACCACAGAATGCAAATTTTCATTGTTATTCTTTAAGCGTAGCAGAGCGGCTTGCCGAGTTATGATGCTTGGTCGAATTTCAGATTAAGTTCAAGTTAAATAATTACTTCAGGATGGAGTAAGCTGGGAAATCGAAATTTTAGAGTTTATTGTAACCAACTTTTTGGGTAGAAGATCGCCATGGAGTGATGCGGACTGTTTTTGCATGTTTTCGCGCATTCATGCTTTCCGGGCCCGCAACAGCCAAATCCAAAAACGCGTGGTGGTCACTAGTTATTTCCTACTAAATCACTTTTATTTGTTGACTCTTTGGAAACGCGTGGTGCTGTTGTTATTTGCACATTTGTATATGACTTAATATTTGTAGTGAGGCTGTATTGCTCAAGCGTCCTCATTTGCTTTACACACTGTGTTAGCTGCATATTAATACCTTAGTAGTAGTGCTTTTACCTATTTTTATTGAAATCTTTGCTGTATTTGATGTCATCAAACGTTCTCGCATTTCTCTGTTGTCATGTTGATAAAAGTATTCTAAGTACATGTGTGTCAAGTTTTCGTGCTCCACTGAATAAAGCTGCGTTTGATGTTGGTGGACTGATGGCCGATGTTGAGCTGATGAATGCGTGGGCCAATGGAAGAGCAAGAAACTGTCGTTCTGTTTGCAAAGCGAGCAGGGAATTCTAGCACTGGAAAATCAAGGCTACCAGGGCAGTAAGAAGTGGAAGTGCAGAGTTTGCTTCCACAACTGTTGACGCTTGAGCTGGCCTTGAGATAAATTTTTGGATGAGCCGGGGTAATCTGCCTTCTCCGGTTTATGCAGCAGTGCATTGCTGGAGCAGTCTCAACATTACGGCTTGGAAGTGTGCGAGACCTGCGAGTTGGTGGGCATGTTTATTAATTTTTAAGAGAAATCGGCAAATAGCCGTTGGCTACTTTGATGAATGATGATGCAGTGATGCTGGCACTAATAGCGATAGAATTCCGAGGGTCACCATGGAGACCGAAAGGCATGTGCCTGATCGAATGCGCTCTGCGTGTTCCGGTACTATTGCCTCTGGCACCAGATGCCTTGGTGCCACTTACTGCCCTACGTGATCCACGTGCACGCCTTGATGCTTTATCACTGTCATGTTGGCGCTGGTCATCGTTTTAAGCGACAAGCACTGCCGACCGATCATATTATGGTATGAAGAGCAAAATTTCAGTAATTTTATGTCACACTGGTAATCTGTCCATTCAAAGGGGTTTTTGTGGAGCACGGCTGTGTGTACCTGCAGCGAGAATTGTTCGGGAGTCTGGTGAGAAATTGGGTTAGTTGGGTACTTAAGACTTGATTTCGTCCTTCAGGGCAATCATCTGTCACTTCAAGGTCCTACAGTTAGCATTTGAAAACTCGATTTACTTAGCCAGATTGGGGGCTAATGTAAATTGGTCCGGTCCCTCTCGAAGATCACACATTTGATTTACTCGAGATTCAGGGGCGGTGAACATCCAAAACTTCTGAAAATGAGTACTGGTACCGTGTGGCGTTAATCTGTCTGGAAACCCCGAGATATCTGCTTCATGTAAGAGTGGAAAGGCATCATTTAGCTCCAGGGTGTTATCTTTTGACGGTTTTATCGCTGTCGTTGGGTTTAGATAATAAATTGTTGGTATATTGCTTTTAGAGTGATGAATGGTTTTACATTCCCGAAATAGTGCAGTTTTCCAGGTGCATTCATTCAATTCGAATATTTCAATAGCTGAGTGGGTGGTTGTCGTCTCAGATGAATCGCGAATTGA